CTCTCTTTATTGGTGGAAAAATATTTAAGGCTTTAATTTTTTTTTTAATAAATAAATAAATGTTTATGACAATCATTCAATACAAAATTTAATTACACTATAAGTTATAATCAAATGGCAAAGAAAATGAAAGGACTTAATCATATATCATTCAACAAAATAAATAAATAAATAAATGTTTATGACAATCATTCAATACAAAATTTAATTACACTATAAGTTATAATCAAATGGCAAAGAAAATGAAAGGACTTAATCTTATATCATACAACAAATTTTATAAGCCTTATTGGTGGAAAATTATTTAAAATCATATATATAAAATATATATATTCTCAATTGTTCCTCTCTCTTTATTGTTCCATTCTGTATTTATTTTTTAAAATATAATATTTATTTTTAACCAAAAAACACATTTAATCATATACATTAATTCATACTTTAAATTCACACTTTACTACTAAAATGAAACTGAAAATTATATAAATTTCCAAAGACTATTGGTTTTCTTTATTGAATTCCAATTAAACACACTATAAATTATAATTATAACTCCTCCAATTTAATTATTTTAAAAATGTAACTTACATCACTTCTTATCATATAAATAGCCATTCTAACATCCTTCTCTATCATATCTCATATCTTCATTATTCTCTTGTTTATTTTTTTTAAAGTTCTTGCATGGGGTGAAAACTCATTTAAAATATCATTGTAAGAGTTTGATTAATTATTTAGTTTAAACTTTTGTTTTCAATTTTATTTATTTTTGTTTTTATGTATTTCTTTATGTCTTCATTGTTTTTTATATTTTTAAATGTAATACATATGTATAATAATATTTTATGGCTATAAGAAAATCAAGCTACAGAAACCATCTTCATTCTTTTACTTTGGATGTTTGTTTCTTTCTCACATATTATGTAATTTTTTAACAAAATAAACTTTTTGTTATATAATTATCAAACCAATTTGTAAGACATTCTTTTAAGAATAATGATCCTTATATTTAGTTTGTGATTCAACATGTAATAATACAAAGAACATTATAATTTGTTTTAACTTTGAATTTTATACTTGATTTCCTATCTATAAAACAATTTGATATTCCATTTTCTATCTATTATATATACTACAAGGATGAAAAATATAATTAAACCTAGAAATATAACTTAAATTAAGAGGAATATAAA